CCCAAAAAAAAAAAAAAAAAAAAAAAAAAAAAAAAAAAAGCATTTATGAAGTTCTTAGATTCAACTAGCTAGATTATCATATCACGTGGCTTTTTTATCCTTGATCGAGGAGTTTGAGATTAGTCCAAAGAGCATAGATGCTCGTCTGGTGTATCTCTCTCCTTCTAGCGTGTTTTCCTTAACATCATTGTGGAAGATAAAAAATTTTAAGAACGTTTTAGCATATGGTGCATGAGTGGTGATTTGGTTGTTTGGGTCTATAGGCTTGACGCTCGAGTGATGCTCGAGTATTGAACTATTGGCACCAACTGCTCCTCATTGATGCGTCCAATAAGAAAGATTTTTCAAGAAGGTTAAGTTCTTCACATGGAATCTCATTCATGAAAGAGTTAACCCCTTTGATTAACTATCAAGAAAGTTGTCTAGTTTGATAGGTTGTTTTGTTGCAATCTTTGTCGGGATGACAAAGACCTTGATAATATTCTTTGGAACTAGGACTTTTCTCGGTAAATTTGGTGTTGCATCTCCGAGGCATTTGGCTTTCCGTTTGCTAGACATAGGGTTACAAAAAGATGATCAAAGAGTTCCTTCTCCATCTACCCTTTTGAGAGAATGGGAGGTTTGAATGGCAAGTTGGTGATTGTGTCAATCAAGTGGGTCAACCCTAGACTCTTTCAAATTCAATATCCAATCATTGAAGACCCATTTAATGCATTTTATTCAACACTTTCTACAATGTATTGTTACATTTGCATCAATTACAATTACGTCACGACTTCATAACTCTTTTGCCTCCGCCTAGATTTGGGGTTTTTCCGCCTTTTATACAATCCATTCTATAACGTATCTTTCCAGTAAAAAATCTCCACAAACTTCAAAGTATTGAAGATCCTAGACTAAGCAAGACGAATACAGTCCATCCTTCAGAGGGCACTATACATTAGATCTTCAAAATACCTTTTCTTTTCCAACTAAAGGTAGCTTCCCAGAATCATAGGGATCCTAAGAATTCATCTTTTACAGCCTCAAAAGCGGTTAAAATATGTACCACATTGCTGCCCAAGCACAACTATAACAATATGCCTAATCCTTTTCCAAGAGTACTGCCATAATACAAAATCATGTGGGTGGTGCTACCTCAAAAGAAACGCCCAACCGTCTAAATTTTAGAAAATTAAAAAAATTTTGCAGCAAAAGATCTATGTAATATGCTTCTTACTGTCGATGCAAACCGAATCTTTGGCATTTGGTTTACCATATAAGCAAGAACATTTTGAAAAGTGCCAATATTCCACATCCTCCAAGTCGACAGGAAAAACGGAAACACTAGACAAGATTTCTTAGTGGAAATTCGAATACGAAAATATAAGAACACCAAGGTCATTCTTTTATACCTCAGAAAATAGAAAATGATGAAACAACTTAATAAAAATTGAAGAATATGGATGGAAAAGGCACGAGGTGATTTCTTAAGAAACTTGCACTAATTTCATGGCTCCCTTCCAGAGTCAATCAGTTCATGATTTGAGAACAAAATATCCATGGTTGTCAGAATGCCATTTTATTTATGACAGTTCTACTCTACTTGTAAATAAGTTTCCATTGTCATAAGCAAAAGGTGACAAGATGGCTTATCTACCCCCGAACACTAGCGAATGCCCTCCATTGACATCAACACCATATCTCAGAGACCTACTCAGCAACGAGGGTTATTTTGATAATGAACCAAGGAGTTTAAATTGGGTTTCTTGGCAATCTCTCTCCCTTTCTCTCTCATTGGTTCCGTCGAACATCAGCCTAAAACTTCCTCCCTTGCGTGTTTGGTGGTTGCCGACCTTCGGATAGGAGCACCACATTTGGGTTTCACGAATTGCAACATTGTGGTGGGTTTCTCCTTCAATTTTCACGTATTATGCTCTGACAACAGAGAGAATATCCACTCTATTTTGGCAGTGCGTTCACAAATTCAAACACGGTACAGCAAGAGTTTTGGGCTTTGTTGGCAGGTTTTCATAGTCTATGAACACCACTAAGCCTATATGAGTTCGATTAAGTTTTAGGTTCGAGTTCTATTTGAATTTTATTGATAGACAGATTTGAAGAAGAAAAATGATTTTGAGGTCTAATGGCAGCCAAGAATCTTCTTAATAGGAGCTAGTAATTATTTGAAAACCTAAGGTAAGTGATCTTACTGTTGGAACACCTTCCTAGTCTACATAAGTTGCATCACTGGTTCTTGTATGTGGAACTTCATGCATATGTGTACTCATAAGACCTTCCTAGTCGACATACGTTGCATCACTGATTCTTGTACGAGGAACTTCATGCATATGTGTGTTCACAAAAATCACGAAATATCGAAACAATTCCTTCTTTTTCCCTATGAGACTTGACTAAGCTGATGCATATCCCTGAGCTCTACGTACATGAAACTGATAAGATACACATCGATGCATGAAGATGATGCATACCAAGAGAGGCCTAAGCTCATTTTGTTTAAAGAGCTTCTATTGTTAACTAATTCGACCGTGACAGAATTTTCAAAGGTCGTCCGAGCATGCACGAGGTAGCGATCCCAGTCGAGTTACAGCTATGTTTTAGAAGGCTTTAGAAGTGGGCTCCTAACACAAATTATCCCTAGAAACTAGATGCAAAGGAGCAGAAAGTTGCCCAGATATTAACCAGAGAACATAGTACAGATTCCAACAACCTGCTCATCAGCTATAAACACAGACCAAAAACTTGCCACTCCATCCAACATCAAGCTAAGTAGGCAATTAAAGAATAAATTTCTCAAAGTTTTCGTAAATAAAGTAATTGAACCCCAAAATTAGAACATAAAACAGCAGTGAATAAAAAATTGAGAAGAAACTAACCAATTGCGACCGAGAACTTCCTCGGCCCGATATCCAGTAACCATTTCGAAGACGGTGTTGACATAAATGATGGGATGGTCAGGTTCAAGAGAATCGGTGACGACGAAGCCACATGGGGCAGTTTGGAACAAGTTCTCGACAGGGAAAGGAAGAGGGCCGCCATCGTTGAGAAGGAAGCCCTCGTCGTCGTCGTCGGCGCTCAGATCCGAATTGCTGTCCCACTCCATTTCGGTTTGTTCCAAAACCCAGAAGCAGTGTTCAACCCATGTAGATATATGGAATCCGGCGGGAGAAATCAGGGCGATGAGAGGGCAGAAAACAGGGTTTTAGGAGGAGGAGAAGGAAGAATTAGGGCGGAAAACCGAATTTAGCAGGGATTTTGGGTTGGTTTCGTATTGTGAGGGTGGGATAGAGAGGAGAAAACTGGGTGGTTAAGGCTTGAAGGAAAGGAATGGGGAGATGATTGTGGGTAAGGGGGGGGGGGAGGCTAAGGCGGAGGTAGAGGAGGTGGGAGGTGGGGTTGGGTTGGCTAGGCTTTGGGTGAGTCGGGGTTTGGGTGTATTGAGCTTTAGGTGTACGCTAAGTGTTGTTGCTTCTTTCGTTTTCCAAGTCTTGGTAGCCTCGTGGTCCTCTTGTTCCACTGCCACTCTTTTTGTGTGTAAATACTTACCCTACGTCCTCTCCTTGTGCTCTTCCAACCATTATTATACCTCTAACAGCTACCTTTTCTATATATATATATATATATCTAGTGTATAGTGTTACGGCTCGAATATGATACGACTCTTTCTAATATATATATATATATATAGTGTATAGTGTTACAGCTCGAATATGATAGTACTCTTTCTATATATAGTGTATAATGTCACAGCTTAGCTTAATCCGACTCTCTCTCTATATAGTGTATAGTGTCACAGCTTAACGGGGCTCTCTCTCTAAATAGTGTATAGTGTTACCGCTTAATGGGATTCTCTCTCTATATATAGTGTATAGTATCACTGTATAATGGGACTCTCTCTCTCTATATATAGTGTATAGTGTTACAGCTTGATGGGACTCTCTCTCTATATACAATATATAGTGTTACAGCTGGAACCTGATAGGTCTCTCTCTATATATATACATACACACACTGTATAGTGCTAAGCTAGAACGTGATAGGAATCTCTCTCTCTACATATATATATATATATATATATATATATATATATATATATATATATATAGTGTAACGACCCAATGGAAATCTCTCTCTATATAGTGTATAATGTTACGACTTGATATATAATGTATAGTGTTACAGTTTGATAGAACTCTCTCTCTATATAGTGTATAGTGTTACGACTCGAATGTGATAAGACTCTCTATATGTATAGACACATATGTTTTATGTGTGTTATAACATAAAATTCTATAGGTATGTTTTTACTTCTTAAATGTAGTTCAAATTCAAATTTTGAATAATTAATTTAGGCATGTACTAATAAATAAAGTTTATCTCGCATTAATAATGACTATGATCAATCATAAAGGAAATGGTTATTAAAATGTTCAAATTTGTTGTATAATTCGAGAAAAAATATTGAAATCGACCAAAAAAAATCTTTTTTTGGCCCACTCAAAACCCGAAAAAAGGTTTTATAAGATTGTAAATATGTCATAAAATATTCCTTTTGTCGTTTGTTGAAATTTATGAATTCGGTTTTCTTTGTTTTGTAGGCCAAAGAAAACAAAGAAAACCCAAGTAAAACGTATCTGATTCCCACACGCCCATAAGCTCGGTTTAGCTCAGCTCATTCGATTGGTCGAGGTGGGCTTGCTTTCAAGCATCTTGTCCAAATAGTTTCTTTACTTGGGTTCTACCTCGCTTGGATTTTGCATGTGACACTCCAGTAAAGAAAGGTACATAAATGAACCAAAACTACATCCGAATGAGATTCTAAGGATAAGATGATTATGAAAAGACTTAAAAGAATTGAAAATCACTACCTATACCAACAAAGAGCACATTTCTTTTCAGTGCCTCAATCATCGGAACTTTATGGTTAAGTGTGCTTAGAGCAATTCTAGGTTGGCGGGCCTTTTAGGAATTTTTTTGTGATGCATGTGAGTGGAGACAAAGTATGTTGGAAGGACTCGTGTTGTATATGAGAATAATTTTTACTCTTAAGAAGTGAGAAGTAGATAACGTGACCATGTCGCAGGGATATAGGTGAATGTCGAGCCCAATTAGTGGGCTTGGGCTACGAAGCCCAACTTGAGGGGAAAGATCAATGTAGTATATTCTGGCCCAAGATCCAAGGCCCACCTCATGTTTGGCCCATTTTGAAAGCCCCATTTATGGCTTTTCATTTTTGGGGAGTAAAAACAAAATATATAAATTAAGATGCATTTTAAGTATTAGAAAATTGGTTAAATTACAAATTTAAATTTAACAGAACTTGAATTTATTATAAATAAGGTCCTAAACTTTTAATTGGGTGTCTAATAAGTCTTTCAACTTTTCGTTTGCATCAAATAAAAACAATTTTACATTTTGCACTATAGACACAAACAAACACATTTTAAGAGTCTCTATTTGTGAAATCTCACATAGGTTAGGGTGGAGAACGAAGCATTCTTTATAAGGGGGTGAAAACTTCTCTCTAGCAGACGCATTTTAAAAACCTTGAGGGGAAGCTCGAAAGGGAAAGTCCAAAGAGGACAATATCTGCTTGTGGTGGAGTTGGGCTCTTGCAAATAATATAAGAGCTAGACACCGGGCGATGTGCTAGCGAGAAGACTAGGCCCTAAAGGGGAGTGGACACGAGACGGTGTACCAACAAGGATGTTGGGCCCCAAAGGGGGTAGATTGGGGGTCCCACGATTGGAGAAGGGAACGAGAGTCAGTGAGGACGCTGAGCCCAGATTGTGAGATCCCATATCGGTTGGGGAGAAGAACGAAACATTCTTTATAAGGGTGTGGAAACCTCTCCTTAGCACACGCATTTTAAAAATCTTGAGAGGAAGACTGAAAGGGAAAGTCCAAAGAGGACAATATCTGCTAGCGGTGGGATTGAGCCTCTCACTAACAGACGCATTTTAAAAACCTTGAAAGGAATCCCGAAAGGAAAAGCCCAAAGAGGACAATATCTGCTAGCGGTAGGCTTGAGCCATTACACTATTGTACGTTCCCCAAAAAAAAACATCCCTATTGTACGTCTCTATACTTTTATTTGAAAATGAACTTGAACGAGTCTATGGTGAATCCTCGGATCGCTCCTCGCCTTTTAAGGTTAAATATTTAAAGAGTAGAGATCAAAAGAACAGAGAGGTCCAGAAATAAGTTTATTATATACCAGCAGATTGCTACAGCCTACAACCATAATTTATGTTCATAGAAACTAAGACTGCTGCAAAACTTGACAGAGATGATCCATAATAACTCATATAGTCTCCTATCAGAACCATCCAGAGACTAATCAGAAATGAATTATGAATGAGCTGGTAAGGTGTTTAATGTTTTGTAATTATATCTACATGAACTTCTCTATAAATGAACAAAGAATTGAGCAGTAGGAATACCTGGAGAGATCAAGAGTTCATCAGCTCCCTTATATGGGAAGTGAGCCTTCGAGTGGAATGTTGGTCGAACGAATCATCGAAGTTCTTGATCCGGGACACGAAATCCATAGCATCTTGGTATTTTCTTGCTTTACAATAACCATCCACTGCAATCTTGTAGGTAAGTTCATTGGGTCTGCAATTGTTCTGTATCATGTAGTTAATGACTTCATCTACCTCTGCAAACATTCCCCGTCCTGCATAGCCCGACACGAAAGTGTTGTAGGTGAATATGCAAGGACGAATCCCCCGAGCTGTCATCTCAGACATAATTCTAATGGCTTCTTGCATGAGCCCTTGTCTGCAGAAGCCTTTGATTACGGTGTTATACGACACGAGATCGGGTTTTTCGCCAGATTTTATAAGTCCCGAGAGGATTTCTTCTGCTTTCCAGCATTCTCCTCTTCTTGCATACATATTCATTAAGCTATTGTAGGTGACGAGATCTGGTTGCAGTCCAGCTTCACGAATCAAGTGCAACATCTCGTGGGCCCTTTCGTACATGTTATTTTTAGCGAAAATCGATAGCATACAGTTGAATATAACCATATCAGGCTTGTATCCATTCTTGATCAACTCCTCAAATGCCCTTTCCATTCCTTTAACTGCTCTGCACTTGGAGTTTGCAAGAATGAGTGTTCTCAAAAGAACCCAGCTGGGGAAGATATGACCATCATAAATGTCTTTCTCAATCCTCTCTAATCCTCTCACATTTCCCCCCTTTGCATAGCAATGGAGCATCGATGAGAATGACGTCTCATTCGGTTTGAATCCCTTCTTCCTCATATCCAGAAACACAGATTCCGCTGCTTTCCAATCTCCTCGTTGAGCCAAAGCGATCAGAAGCGCGTTGTAAGTTGTAACACATGGTGTGAATCCAGCTTTAATCATCTCACCATACACCTTCGCTGCATCAATCTCCGATCCACAACGGCCATACGCACTTATTAATGTGTTAAATGTGTCTCTACCTGGGTTGAAACCACAATTTTTCATCTCCCTAAGAACATGGTTCACAAACTTGTGCTTCCCCTTATCACCACACACAGCAAGCATCGTGTTCCATGTGATTCGGTTTGGAGAACATCCATTTATTCTCATATCACCGAGTATCTTTATCATTTCCTCCAACCGTGACTTCTTTCCCAGCAATGCAAGAATAGAATTATACGTGCACACATTCGGAACACATCCCGATCGCTTCATCTGGTCAAATAACTGCAATGCCTTCATCTCCTTACCTGCCCTACCATAGGCATTAATGACAGTAGTATAAGTCACAGCATTCGGCATTACGCCCTTGCGTGTCATTGTTTCAATGACAGAAGCTCCTTCCTCGTGGAATCCAGCCCGAACATAAGCAGCTACAAGCTCATTGTAAGTAACAGAGTCCGGGTTGCAATTATTATCCTCCATCTCTTTCAAGATGTTTAAAGCCTCTGAGTATATCCCTGCTTTTCCAAACACTTGAAGTAGAGCATTGTAAGTGACAGTTCCTGGCTCATAACCACTTGACTTCAATCCAACAAAGAACTCTTTGGCTTCATTTAGAAGACCCTCTCTTCCACAAGCAGATATCACAGTACTACAGGTGAATTCATCAAATTCCAAGCCGTCACTTCTCATTTCATCCAACAATCCTAAAATCTTATCCCAAGAGCGACCCATTTTCCCATAAACATCAAGCATGACATTATAAGTAACCAAACTTGGAGATAGCCCACAGTCCTTCATTCTCTCAAACATGGCAATGGCATGCTTATACTTACCACTGCGAGAATAAGCGTGAAGAATCGAGGTGCAAGCTCGAACATCAAGCGAGTATTTGTCAATGGGAATTTCGTCGAACACCTTGAGTGCAGTTGAATATTTCGATTCTCTTCCAAGAATTTTTATCATAAGTTCAAAAGCTTTGTTGTCTAATTTCACATCGACAGAGCCAGAGTTCGATACAAACCATTCAAACAACACAATAGCTCTCTCACTATTACCCGAATGATCTAGCGCTTTCAACAGACTCAGCAAATCAATTTCACGCAACTCAAACTTGACAGAATCAAAAAAATCATTCAAGCTATCAAAAGGCTGCTCAACGATTGAATTAAGTAACCACATACCCTTTTTGTAGAGAAATTGAGGAGACCCATCTCGAATTTCCTCGTCATTGTACAACACGGGTTTCTTCATCTGAGGCCGTTCTCGCTGTTTCTTGTTCGAATCCACGGAAATTCGAAGCGAAGGCAAATGGGGAACATTCTTTTGCGCAACATTTGCAGGTTTGAGCTTGTGAGCACTGTCATTGGGCGGCAGGGACAGTTGAAGAAGATGCTGAAGAAGGGTATCGATCGGAGGGGAGGAAGAGGGCAGCGAGGGAGGCGGAGGAGGTGGAAGAGCTGTCGAATTGAACCGCAAAGTTTCAGCTGGTTGATTGGGTCTACTCACTGGAAGTGGAGATTTGTTGGGGAAGATAGCGCCTTCCATTTGAGGTTCGAACTCTTCAAAGCAATAAAAATGGCGAAATTGAGCCCGATTATTGACGAACAGGAAGAACGAGGCGACTAATTTCACAGAGTGAAAGCCTTAGCTGATGCATTTGAAGAAGGAACGGTTGGCCTTCATTTGAAGAAGATGGCATATAGCCATTTCAGGGGAAGATTGACATTTCAAGCCACATATAACTTATTTGATCTTTTTACTGGATAAAGTGATGAGCCAGAGTTTTTTTTTTTTTTTTTTTTTTTTTTTTTTTTTTTTTTTTTTTTTTTTTTTTTTTTTTTTTTTTTT